GGAGCCCTGCTAAAGATTAAAGTTTGCTGCTGGATATGCTAACCTTCTGGTCATTTTCCTTAGGTGAAAAAGCTCATCTGTTCTCCCAACAGCAACAGGTCAAAAATGAAGAAATGAAAGTTACTATTCTGACTTATCTTCCTCCCATATGTTTAAACCATTACAACAATGCTACAGTTTGCTCAGGCTAATGACTCTTAAAGGGAAGTGGGCAACTGCTTCCCACTTAGATCTTCACACAATCCCACTGGCCAGAGGAGTAAGCAAGTCTGGACCAAGATGAGTAACCAAGGACTGAAGGAGAACTCTTCTGATCAAGATGCACAAGCTGTCATGCATTCACAGAAGCGGAAAGCATGCACTATATAGTTTAGAAACGCAGTAAAAATATTATACTGTAAACACAAGACTTGATTTTAAAGAGTTTTTTGCTTTTTCTTATAAAATGAAAATTATAAATAATCTGTTTCAAAAAAAGAAAGCATGCACTATTGCTTTCTAACAGGAGCCTAAGATTCCAGTGCACCCCAGCCCTGCATATGCTATGCTCCACTATTTCAAAATGCAAAACAAAAGCCAAAAAGCTTCCAGAACAATTGACAGAAGTCCAGATTTGTGCTCCATTGACAATCCTTTTGATCTGACCATACATTTGGCTCTTCCTTTCAATACTTTTCAAGGCACAGGAAGGAAGGATAGTCATGTTTTAAACTATCACACCTTGCTGACAGGTCACGCGATCCACCATCAACTGAAGGGGATACACTGTAGGGGAATTTTGATACACTGAAATTAATGGATGTGAAAATTCTATATCCAAGTATTGCAGTTTCACTGAGGCAGCAATCCTAAACCCACTTCCCTGGGAGAAAGCACCACTCTGAATTCAAAGGGCTAACTTCTGAGTAGTGATATATAGGACTGAGCTGGTAATTATTTATTTACATCTTTTGCCAAAATTATTTTACCCAATTATGGATTGGGGGAATTAAATAAAAAAGACAGATTATGGACAGCCCTGTGCCATGCCTATTTCCTCAGAATTTAGCAATACTTGCCCTCAGGCTGTCACGGCAAACTTGCTTGTCCTGTGGAACTCAGTCAGACACATAAACGTGTACTAGATCAAGCAATTAACCACAAAACCTTTGCCAGATTGCAACTCTATATATAACAGAGCGCAAGACTTGGTGTAACAGGACAGGGTTGCTGTGTTGCAGAAGCAATTGTAGCTTAGACTACTCTAGCTGGATCTTCCAAGCATAGCCTTCCAAGCACAGAACTTTCTGAATAAGCCCAAATAAGGTTGCTGGACACAACTGCCTTTTAGATCATTTCAACAAATGAAACAGTGAAGTACTTAATACTTCTTTTTCCCCTAACTGAGACCACTCACTGATTTGACATACAAGACATGGGGCATGATTAAAAGAAACAAAAATGCTTAAAACTCACTGATTTCAATGAGAGAAACTAAGCACACGCTTAACTATCCATAACCGTCAATGAGACTCTACTGCAGAGCTTTCCAAACTTTTCACGTGGGTGACAAACTTTTTAGACAAGCATCATATCGCAACACAGTAATTCAGTTTTAGTAGCAAACCGGAAGTTAAACTGACCCCTTTCCAGCCATTGGAAGAGTATGGGGAGTGTTTGTTCAACACGGCAACACACTAACATGTCACAACACACAGTTTGGATAGCTCTGCTGTACTGTACATCAGCGTGAGTAATCCTTGCTTCCCAGCCTTTGCACAAACCACATGGCCCCCTGTAGTGCAGGAAGCTTTGCGTGTGTACTATCATGTGCAAATGCTTCATTATGACCTGCCACCCCTGATCATGCAAAAACTCCCCTGTTACCAGGGTCCATAACTTCAAAGGAAGACTAAGGAGCTAAGTGACTCCCCTGTTGACAAATATGGGAGCAAAAACACACAGGTAAAGCTCATGTCACAAAAAAGATTTGAAAAGCTTAAGAATTGTTCTTGCTTTCTTTTCCTCTTAAATAATAAATCATCTATTCAAGAGGCATAGTCAAAACAGGACCAGCACACTTAAACATGTCTAAAACGAGTATTTAATTTTTTCCTAAGTTAGAAAAATATAAATTTCTCCTACTTACAAAAAGAATTGCTTAATTTAATAAGCAGGACTAATTGTCACTGAAGTGTTAAACCTGTGCCTAGAACGTACCACTTCCCTACTGCAGGTAAGGAATGCTTCTCTGTACAAAACAAAATATGTGTCAGAGAAGAAGGGTCCTAACCTTGCCTTCTTCCAAACATGCCACCTTCCTATGTGCAGGGATTGATTGATTTATGGTACAGAGTTGCATCATGTGAGACCTCACCAGCAGTATGATGTGGAACGGATCAGATAAAGGTTTATCACCTCAGTGAGAACCAGGCTTTAAATGTATTAAATATTAATATTGAAATACTTAATGCTACTAGTTCTTTAAGCATCACCAATGAATCAACAGTCCATTTAAGAGTTCAGATTTAAATCAATATAGGCTTTGATCCCAAATATATTTGCAATCTTTGACTGAAATCAGTGGAATCAATAGTATCCTAATTATTTAAATGAAATTGACTTTTTAAATGACACATTTTTATGACTGCATCTAAATATGCTTAAATAAAAATACACTTAACTAAGTTATGAACTCAGATATTTGGTTATAGGTTATCAAGAAATCCCACATCCTGGGATATTTAAATGCATCATACATGCAAAGCACTACCGTGCATTATTCCGAAGGCATTCTTGTTCATTATGCAATATGCACTACAAACTATGCTAATGCTATATATGCAATATGCACTATATACACTGTACATTTCATATGCTGCACGACATGTTGGTGTTGTAACATGATACAGTAGCCCAGCGAGCAACACTGCATAATACATGCATCGTGCAGCATGATGACGATTGTCCATTACCTGCACGTTATGAAACATTACTGACGGGGAAAGCAAACCACTTTCATATGTAACGTATGGTAAAAAATGGAACTGTTATACATTTGAAATGTACTATACACTGCCTATGCAGTGATAAGCAGACACTCAGGAAGAAAACATGGTATGTCGTTGGCCCAACCTGTTGTGTAAAATTTGCCAGCTTTGAAAACTAGGCAGCTCTTTGTCAAGTGCAATTATTCACTGCCAGAATAAAGTAGCATACAATCATATAATTGTAGAGCTGGAAGGACTCTAAGGGTCATCTTGTCCAATCTCCTGCAATGCAGGAATGTCATCATCCAATCTGAAACCATACTGGACTTAGCTTTGCAAATGCGCTAGCAGTTTTATTGCTGCGCCACTAGGTGGTCTGTAAAACTGAATGAGGTGCTACATACCAGAAAATTACTACTGGCCATTCTTGATATCTCCAAGACAGTGCAGTGTTTAGAAGATATAGTATTGAAGTTGACTGGAGGAAACCTGGGATCAAAGCATCACTCAGACACGAAGCTCACCAGGTAAAATTCAGTCAGTCACCATCTCTCAGCCTAACTTTATCTCAGTAATTGTGTGGATATAATGGAATCCTATCTATCTAACAGGGGTGGGGAAGCTGCCATCCTCCAGGTGTTATTGGACTACAATGGCCAGGATAGCAAGGGCTGATGGGAGCTGGTGCCTAATGACACCTGGAGAGTCGCTGGTTCCCCATCACTGGTGCAAAAGGTTGAAAAAAAAAATACAAGCTCAGCCACAAAGCTTCCTGGGTGATCTTAGAAACCACAGGCAGCTGCATAACATGGGAATCAAATCTCTGGTCCATTTAGCTCAGTATTGTCTGCACTGAATGGAAGCAGCTCTCCAGAATTTGACAGGGCTCATTCCTGCCCTACGTGGGACTTTTTGCATGCAAAGCATGTCCTCTGCCATTCTCTTACATAAAGGACTGAGAATGTCAGAACAGAGCCCACAAGGAGGAAAGCTCTGTAAAACCTGTCAGAACAAGTACTTTTGAGGGCAGACAACAGGAATGCCACCTCAGCACTTCCCTCAGCAGAAACAATGGCAAGAAAGGGCCAATCTTAGTGCCAAATCAAAGAGGCTAACCTAAGCCAGCTCTGATCAGCTGCCTTCTTCTCTATCTCCTCCTCCCTATCCTGGCTGCAGAAGGCTGAACTAGCAGGTGGCAAGTTCCTCTAACCTGCCATCTCTAAACTGCAGGTCAGAAGTGCCACCTGAAGAGGTGGGACCTTAATTCTGTCTCATGATTCGACTGCCACTGTGGAAAAAAAAGTTCTTCTTGTCTGTGACCTGGAAATGGCACAATTGCAAACCTCTGCAGAACATGGGGATCAGATGACATTAAAAGCTCTTTAAAAAAAAAAAGCACAACTTGTTGGGCCAATCAACACATCATTTAAAAACAAAAAGCAAAACACTGTTCAGTATCTCCTATTCTGTTGGACTAGCCAAACTGCAAGACTTGGATCTTCAAGCTCCCTGCTCAATGTTGCGGCACATTTTCCAGCACAGTGGGCAACACCTCAGGTAGGGTCTCCATAATGTCTATTCATGAGGGGCTCTGTGCCTCTCAAGCGGCTGTTACAGGCAGAGAGTCCCTATGTAAAAGTCCTAAATTGCAAATCCATGATCCTATTGGAGAAAGGTAAAATGTTACATATGTACAATATTCTCAAAAGACCTGTGGCAGTCCTCACTTTTTGCATGGGGATGCCCCACCGCATGTTCCTTTGGACACGTGGGGTGGGGAGGCGCTGCTGCCGGCATGCTTCACGTGTAGTTTCCACAGGTTCCAAACCACGCGGATGCCGTTCAGACATTGCTGTGGGCGCCCCCGCCGTGGGCTTCCTCGCAATTCAGGGGCACACGCGCAGACAAGAGTTCCATTCAAGTACCAGGCGCGCAGCTCCCTTCCCACGTGCCGATGCTTAAAATGTCCTAGGTGATTCACGTTGCGGCTCTGCCCGCCTGCCCAGCCAAGGCCGGCTTCCCTCCTCGGCTTCACAAGTACCTTTCCAGGCCGGAGTGGAAATTGGGCTGCCTCATGTATGAGTTGTTGGCGGCGCCTCCGAACTGCCCGAGCCCGTTGAGCTGGGAGGCCGCCAGGCCCAAAAGCTGCTCGGCGTGGTCGGCGCAAGAAGAGGCGGCGGGCCGCCCGGGCTGCAGGGCCAGCCTGTTGGGGGCGCCGTAGAGCTGCGCGCTGGGAGGCGAATAGGCGCCGGGCGGCAAGGCCAGGTGGGCGGGCGGCGAGGTCGAGTACGGGTAGGCCATGGCCGGGGGCTGCCGGCCCAGGAAGCCGGGGCTGACCTGCTGCGTCTGGAAGCAGGCCTCGGCGTTGCTCCCCGGGCAGCTGCCCAGGTCCCCGGCGCCGTTGAGGCCCAAGGGGTGGTGAGCCAGCTCGGGCCCCACCGGGGAGCCTTGCAGGGCCGCCGCCGCGGCTGCTTGCTGCTGCTGCTGCTGGGAGCTAATGAGGCTGTCGATGCTGAACATCCGCGGCGGCAGCGCCGGGGGCGCCCCTGGGTACTGCGGCAGGCCGGGCAGCTGCGCGCTGTAGGCGGCGGCGCCGCCGGGGGAGTAGAGGGCGCCCCCGCCGCCCGGGTAAGCGGCGCCTCCGGAGCCTCCGCAGCCGGGCCCCGCTCGGGCCACGGGGCCCGGGTTGGGGGTGAAGGCGCTGGCGCTGTGCACGTAGCCCGGGTAGGTGGTGAGGTCGGTGCGCTTGAAGCGCTTCCTGCGCCGGAGGAAGCTGCCGTTGTCGAACATGTCCTCGGCGGCCGGGTCCAGCGTCCAGTAGTTGCCCTTGCCCGGGTGGCCCGGCTCGCGGGGGATCTTGACGAAGCAGTCGTTGAGGGTCAGGTTGTGGCGGATGGAGTTCTGCCACTTCTTGGGGTTCTCCCGGTAGAAAGGGAAGCGCTCCGTGATGAACTTGTAGATGCCGCCCAGCGTCAGCCGCCGATCGGGCGCGTTGGCGATGGCCATGGCGATCAGCGCGATGTAGGAATACGGCGGCTTGCCGCGCTGCACCGGGCGCTTCCTCCGACGGCCGCCGCCGCCTCCCGCACCACCACCTGCGCCGGAGCCAGGTGGCTGCTCCTCGACCGGCGGCTCCGCTGCTCTCTCTGCCGGGCTGCCTCTGGGCTCTGCTTTGATGAGCAGCGGTTCCACTTTGCAGCCCGACGGGGAGGCCCTCTGCAAAGTGGGGGAGCCCGGGCTAGCCCCCTGACTAGGAGAGTGGAGGGAGTCCGCTGTCATGGTGCATATACCCGAGAAAAAGGAGAAGCCGGCCAGGTTCATATACAAGGGAAGCTCCCGGGAGGGAAAGGCAGATGAAACAGCACAGCTCCCTCGGGGACCAGGTATTGGACGGACGACCTGCTTTATATAGATCAGGCCTGGCGCCACCCTGGTGCGACCCCCTCAATGGCTCGGCTATTGCCCACCCACCTGAACGCTGCCCCTCCTCACTCGCATGCATTCTCTCTCTCCCTTCTCTCTCTCTCTCTCTCTCTCACACACACACACACAGAGCTGTCAGAAAACAGCGTTCCACAAGCCAGTGCCAGCATTTCGTATGTGAAAAACTAAACCGGGGTTCCTTTCTTCGTCTGCACCAGGTAGAGAGGAGGTAAAGGAGGATTTCGTTTCCAGCCCATGGTGTAGCGCGATCCTATGCATGCTAACTCAGAAGTGCGTCGCACCACGTTCAAGGGGACTTTTACTGCAAGTAAGCATGGCTGGATTATAGGATTGTAGCCTTAGCCCGTAGCAACTACGACGAGGGGATTTCTTTTCAGTAAGACGTTTGCGGAGCGCATCGTCTCCTTTTCGGCTTGGAGACGGGCTGATACGTAGAAGAACTACTGGGAATTCCCCGAGGCGACTCTGGAACGGCAACTGGCTCGTAAGGGCAAAACTGTCCGTGCACGTCAAGAGAACTTACTTGGAAGGAAGTGTGCTTTGCAGATGCTTTAGCCAGCGGGATGTAGGAAGACAGACGCGCAGACTCGGCCGGCAAGTCCTTCTGCTGATGCTTAAGTTAAAAGAATGGAAGTTGCGCAAGAGGGGGGTGGGCTGGCACAGTTCCCACTGAGATTTGCGCAGGAGAACTTCCTGGTGAATAATGCCAATGGGCAGAAACAAATCTCATGGGATTCGGTTGGATTCGCTTTTGTTTCAGAGCCGGTTGCCAGGGGAGTTCTGGTTCTCTGCTCGACCACACATTCAATTAGAGCGCGATTATCATTCTTTTGCGATGTACATACAGACTTCTCTCACACACGCCAGAAATGTTTGAAGGATGAGATGGGAAAGGGTGACATTAATTATGATTAGCTTTTCTTAAGCAACACACGGAGTTGTTCCAGCTGTCTCCAAATTACTTAGCACACCCTCTAACTCCTAGATCAAGGGACGGAGATCCTCCTTAAAACGAAAACAGAATGTCTTCAACTCGACAGGCTTGCCAAGGGGATTCAAGCTAAGGGAGGGGCGTGGAGGAAAATAGGCAAAGGAAAACCGCGATTTTATTTTTTCCTATTGTGTTGGATTATGAACACGTTTTCAAAGTTCTCTTATGCCTTTCATGGGCTTCGTTTTCCTTTGTGAGTACAGTGTGCTCGTTTTCATTTAGGCAGGAGCTTCCTCCTTCCGACCCAAGTCCTCCCCACCTGATGTCCTCAGTTAGCAAGTACATGATACACCTGGCTGTAGTGTAGGGAATTTCGTGAATTCAAGGCACGCCTTCCTCTTTTTGCCCCTTCATATGGTGAAAGGAGAGGGTTGGGGGCATCGTCAGTAGCTGCGTTTTGACCGCATCAAAACTGGACTCGACTTTCCTGCTTATTTGAACTGGTTTGTTTGAACTGGTTGGAGATCATTATCAGCGTCGTTTCCAATCCGCTCCACCACCCACCTGGTTTTAACATGCATCCTCAAGCTCTGACGTACTCAGTATCTTGCTCGCTATTATGTAACATCTTAGCTGGTCCCGTTATGGGTGTTGGCCTAATGTGGATCTAGGTCATAGGAGCCAACTCATAGGGGCCGTGGGGGTTTCCGCCCCCACAATAAATATTTGAGGGGGCCGGGGGCCCCAAAATTGATGGGCATTCCCATTCAAATGGTGTGTGTGCACCGCGTTATGTGATCGGTTATGCGGAGCGGGGCTTACCTGGGCTCCCACAATATTTTATTCAAGTTGGCACCTCTGATCTGGGCCCTCCAGCGCTCCCCGCGTCCAGCCCGCTCCCGTGGGCCAACGGAGGCTGCTTTCAATTTTTTATCTATAGGGAACCATTGCTTGGTCTTGGTCTAGTCTCTCCTGCCCTCTTGAGTTTCCCAAAATTGTCCGGTACCCAATCAAATATCACAAAACTGATGTACGTATGTCTAAAATTCTCTAACTAGGATTGACTTAATAATCCTGAATTCCCAGCGGTATCTCGATGCCTGTTGGAAGTACATCTCGGTGATTCCTTTAGGATTGGGCTGTTCTGTGAATAGTCCAATCCCGACCTTGTGCGCTCGAAACCAAGCCCCACTTCTCCCCTATCCCCCACCACCACCACCCAGAGGGGCTTTCTTGCAAGGAAGTATGCTAAAATGGCCATCCTAGACCTATTTGTAATAGCACAAGGCTGCAATCAGAGAGCCACTTCTCTGGGAGTTAAGCCCCATTTGATTCAACAGGTGACTTATTCTAGGACTGCGCAGTCAATTACAGTGGATTCGCCTTATAGATATCTGCGTGCCTTAGAGCTGCGCAGATTCTGTTTTACGACCCACTGGAGGTTTCCCTACATCAACGCTGCTGAAGTCAATTGGGAGCTGTCCAGAGGTGCGCGGTTCCCCTTCAGATCAAAGACATTTGCTCAGGCGAGCTTCCTAGCTGCTTACACACTGAGGCTGTAAATTCTATGGACAAGCGTTCGAGAGCAATGCGACTTCTCATTTGCAACGCAAACTTGTAGTGCGAATCGAGGAGAACTCCGTTTGCAACCGCTGGAATCCCATAGGATGACAGCCTTAAGGGGCGAAATAGGTAACAGCCAGCTCCTCTGCGAAGCGCGATCGGCCGGTATTCTAGCCAACACGAGACCGCGGAGAAACAAGAGGCAGGGGGGTGTCAGCAGGGATCCCCCAAGCTCAACATCAACATCGAAACAGTCCACGCGCAATAGTACCCCGAAAACGGACTTGACTGGCTAGTTAGAATCCAGAACAGAAACACGTCGCACAGCTGCGCTGCAACGTATTGCTGCAGCTTAAGTCTAGTAGTTAGTGTGTCAGACTAGGACTGGAGAGAGCAGGGTTCACATCTCCATTCCTCCATGAAGCTCACTGAGTGACCTTGGGCCAGTCCCTGCCTCTTAGTTTAACCTACCTCGCAGGGGTGTTGCGGGGATTAAATGAGGAGGGGGAGAAGAGCTCCTTGGAGGGAAAAGTGGGATACGAATGCAATAAATAATAAAATAAATAATCTACCTACGCACCTGCTTATCTACCTTTTCTCAAAGCGTTCAAAACACCTCCCACTGCTTCTTTAATGCTGGTTTACTTTTGTTTTTAACTTTTGCAAACGAGGGTGCTTAGTTAGGAAACACAGAGAGATCCTGCACGGTGCAAAACTGAAATTATTTGGGAGCTGTTTACTAAATTAGTTCGGGGTCGGGGAAGGTAAGTGATGGTCATTTCACTGCTCCACTGAACCGCCGCCACCAGGCGCGCTTAAACCTGCCCCACCACACTAAACACGTTCCTTTCAGAAGTAATCGCCGCGGATTTCAGCTGAAATGACTCCCCGGAGCGTAATTTGCTGCTCGGGGTCTCCAATCCCAGACTGTAGCTGCAATCCTACTAGAGAGAGCCCCATGGAACCCAATGTGCAGGATTCCTCTTTAACGCAAGGGAGCCTTTGAGCGGGTTTCGGATGCACAGGTCCCTAAACTGTTGCTCCAATGAGCAAGAAGACTTCGGCCTGAGCGACAGTCCCCACATTGATCGGGGCGGCTGTGGATTGGAGCAGGTCCTCGGCGCTGCAAATGTGACTGTAAGAAGCATCCAGGCTTCTTGAAGCTGCAACCGTATGCAGACTTCCCTGTGAGTAAGCCCGCCGAATTCAGTGGGACTTCTTTCTGAACTACTTGGAGGCTGAGCTGCAGCACAGAGCGCTGCAATGCTGTTCAATGTTACGAAACCAGGCGAGGGAACCCGGTCCCGTTGCTCCTTCTTGAACCAGTCCTCACTTTGCCAGTGGTAGGACTTCTGTGCAATATCATGAAAGCGGGCAGGGGCGCCAACGTGAATAAAATATTGGGGGAACCCAGGTAAGCCCCGCCCTGCGTAATCTATCACAAGACGCGGCATTTGCACACCATTTGAATGGCAATGCCCATAAACTTGCTGGGAGGCTGGCCCCTTCAAATATTTTAGGGGGGGCGGGCGAAGGGACCTCAGCCCCTAGGAGTTCGTCCTATGAAAGAGGGGAAGGGACGGTAGTTTAGATCAGGAGTGGGATTTTTTTTGCAGCCGGAGAGATCCATTATTTTCTGGGGGTCACGTGATGCCAGTGATGACGCCTGATGCAAAGGCAGGTGGAGCAATGAATGCCAATATTACCTTTCTATAATAGGCTAGTGAGTTTCATACTCACGCTGGCGTCTCCATCGTCTGTGGCTCCAACAATGACCTTTTGGGGCAAGGGCCAGTAGAACCGCACGCACTACTCCAGATGTGACTGAGAGTATAACAGTGTTGTTGTGATAAATGCACTTTAATTTCAAATAAATCTCCGAAGTAATTCCGTTTCTCACCCCATATTTGCCATCGTGCCAACTGCAGCAAACAGTTTCCGAAGTGAATGCCAGTTGGCAACCCCCGTTGCGCATCGCCTTCCACTTCCTCAGAGACGAGTTAGAAAGGAGCTCCTTCGGGGCATCCCGGCTGATATGCCTGAGCTGTGAGCACACATTTATTTTAGGACGTAAGAAAAAGCTTCCATTCGGCAGACGATTTTATTTAGACTTCCACTCATGCACAGAAAGCATGGCAATCGTAATGTAAGGCACCTGCTTTAACTTCCGCGTACGGGCGCGAAGCAGCAGGGGTTGCCGACCCTCCGGAGTTTGCTGAACTACAACTCCCATCATCCTGACCACTGACCATGCTGGCTGGGGCTGATGGGAGTTGTTTCGTTTCCAAGACTATTCCAAGTCCTCCGGCCACAACAGCTGGCTTTCATCCAACAAAATAAG